TTCTTGGTTGGATGTAAAATATCCAGTGCTCTGTTTTGAAGAAGGCTATCGTAGAGGAGTTATCCCTGGTGTCCTAGCCCATATTTATCTGTCAATCAACATCGAAAAAGCAGACTATCTGTTCATTATTACACTACCACTTTTGAGCAGGATTCCCACATTACAGCCATTATAACAGCACACTTCAAAAGTACTCCATTGGCTGTAAAGCACTTTCCTTAGATGGGAGATTATTGAGTTTTGGATTTACACAACCAACCCATTTAATTGACAGGCTTTTCCATTGAAATAACTGAATGACCTCACACACACACACACACACACACACACTGCTTTAACTCCCAGTCATTATTCATGCCAACCATTTCCTGATTCCATAATTCTATTTGGGGGGTGAGACTGTGAGGTAAGGAAACAAGTTAAATATTCACCTGAAAAGGGTCAAACATATTGCCAATCGTCAAAGTATTCCTACTTCATATTATCGCCTCCAGTTATTTTTTTAATAAACCAAAGCCATCTTCCAATTTCTGAAGAAGGGTCCCGACCCGAAACGTCAGCTTTCCTTCTCCTCTGATGCTGCCTGGCCTGCTGTGTTCCTCCAGCTCCACACTGTGTTATCGCATCCTCCAATTTATGTTTTCGTTGGAATCCTATGCTTTTCACAACAGCATTATAACTAGATGAAAACCGAAAGAACTGCGGATGCTGCGAATCAGGAACAAAAACAAAGTTCCTGGAAAAGCTCAGCAGCTCTGGCAGCCTCTATGAAGGAAAAAAAAAGTTAACGTTTTAGGCTCGGTTCTGAGGAAGGGTCATCGGACCCGAAACGTTAACTCTGTTTTTTTTTCCTTCACAGATGCTGCCAGACCTGCTGAGCTTTTCCAGCAACTTTGTTTTTGTTCGTTATAACTAGATGGTTTCCACTCTTCCCTGCCAAATCTGACTCTTGTTGGAAAAGCTCATTCCTCGTTGGCCACTTTTTTTACTTGCTGAAAGAATTCCTGAAGTTTTCTGTCTGTGCCTCCAAAGTTAGGGTATCTCGGGGAGGAAAAGAGGTAACATTTGGGCTGGGCTCTTCAGTGTAGCTGCTCCTCAGAGCCCAATGTAGCAATCCCCCTGTACAGTCCCCGCCCTCCTGACTGTGATTGACACCAGCGCTCAGACCTGGGATTGGTTTCCAATAGCAACAGGAGACGCTTTCGGCTGGAGTTCTCCTGACTGCAGGGACAGCTCTCGTTTACTTCCCCCCTCCCAAATTCAGAACAGCTCCCCTGGAGTTGTCGAGGAAGAAAACAAAGAAGAAGGGAGAGGAATGCAATGGGTGCCATGTACTTGCTGAGTGCATTTCTTGTTTTACAGGAAGAAGCGGCGGAAAGAGGACTGGCAAGTGCTGAGAGCAAGAACACAAGGTTGAAAGTCGGGGCACTGCAAGGTTAGAGTGAAAAAAAAATCGCAAAATACCTCAGCAAAGCTGGAGTGCTTCACATTAGAAATTGTGGAACGGACTGTTTCATACTTGGCTGGAGCATTAACTAGCAAGGTGTGGACAGCTTCCGGAGAAACTTACTGCTGAAGGAGAGAGCAAGTGTTAAAAGAACACCGGGGTAGATATCAAGTTTCATCATGTACTCAATACAGAATTGTCATTGGTGCCAGTTGGTGTAGGTCTGCGATTATTCTGCACAGGAGACTCCTCCCACACTAAATCTGGTCCTATCATCATTTCTTTCCATCCATTTCCTCCCTCGTACCCTTATCTAGATTCTCTTTACCTTTGATATTTACCTTCACTTCCCTAGGTTTACGCCAGGCCTAACCATCCTTTGGGGTAGATTTCTTGTGAATTCCCTGTTCGATTTATTGGTGACTGTCTTATGTTTGCGGCCCTTGAT